TTTGCGCTGTTGGAGCTCACAGGACGTTGCGGGCACTGCTGAGCTCCTGTAAGATGAGGAGACAGCAGCCTACCTCAGGGCTCAGGAGTGAAGGGTAACACATGAGTGCCGGCACAGGGAGTGTGCAAACAGTTTAGCAACTGCCGCCTTCTACTCCGGCTAAGACTGCTTTCCACGTAATCACCTCCACAAAGGCCCTATCTCTAAATACAGTCATAGTCAGAGGCACGGGGGGTAGGAGTTTTTTGGGGGCACATAATCAGTCCTTAACACTAAGTGAAATAAGCCAGAAACCAAAAGACAGATATCGTCTGAGTCCTCTTATCTGCGGTACCTAGAATAAGCAACTTCGTAGGGACAGAAAGTAGAGTAGGGGTTCCAGAGGGGGGTGAGGAGGGTGGGGCGTTCTTGTTTAATGGATGTGGGGCGTCTGTTTGACATGATGGAAACATTCTGAGCTGGGTAGTGATGATGGTTGTATAGCACTGCGCCACTGAATTGCACACTTAGAAATGGTTAAAATGGTAAATTTTATGTTATGTACATCTTACCACAATTAAAAAAAAAGACTAACAAGAGTGAGGGGGGTGGGGAGAACGTTTCCATTCAGGACTGTAAAAAGTGCTGGATTCAGAGACTCAGCTGGATTCTAGTTTTGTCTGGGGACAAGGCTGCCTTGTCTATTCCAGGGGGTTGCGGCGGGGGAGGGGGGGCATAGGTGTGGGAGCCCCTCTGTAGGGCATGGCAAGTTTAGAAGTCTGGGGTTTGAGGTGGAGTGTCAGCCAATTGGATACCAGGTCCTGCCACTTACCTAGTAGTGAGGTTATAGGCGCAGTACTAGGCGGTGCCTGGGTTTCCTCTTACTCTGCAAGGAGCAACGCGTGGAGCCCATAGACCAAGGTTTCACCTGCAGCTCCCCTCTTCCCAGCTGACTGACCAGGGGCAACTGCCATGACCTTCGAGCCTTTTTTCCTTCATCTGTATAATGGGAGCAAAATGACTGGGACTGAGGATCTCAGAGAGATCAGACATATGGCAGGATTAGGCTTCCTGCCCTGTGCATACTAGTAGTAGGTGCTTAACAAATGGCAGTGAATTTTAGTACCAGTGGTTAAGTTGCCTTTCTTCCTCAGGCCTTGAGTCTCTTTCATCTTTCCACAGATATTTAGTGTGCACCTACTATGTGTTGGGACTAGTGTGATGAACAAGACGTGTTCTCTGCCTCATGGCACTTGTTTTCTATAGGGGGAAACAGATTATAGACAAGGAAACAAACACATCTGTAGTTGCGAATTGTAATTAGGTCTGTAAAGGAAGAGATATGGGTGTGTGTGTGTGTGTGTGTGTGTAACTTAAGGGAGTCAGGGAGGGCCTCTCTGGGGTGGTGACATCGAAGCCAAAGCCAGAAGGATGGGAAGGACCCAGCTATGCTCACAGCGGGGTTAAGCGCATCTCAGGCAGAGGGAACAGCATGTGCAGAAGCCCCGAGGAAGAACAGAGCTAGGTGTTCAAGGCACTGAGAGGAACTCACCGTTATGTGTGGCTTTGGGTCCTGGACAAGGAGGGTGGGTACAGAATGACAGTGGAGAGGAGAGCAGGGCCGGGTCATGCAGGCAGCTCCCCGCCTGGGCTGGCTGCTGGCTGGCGCTTTAGACCCTCATGTCCTGGGGTGGGGGAGGTGGGGCTCCAAGGACACATCCTTGTTGTTGGCCTTGTGCCCAGGGACTTTGGAAGTTCAGAAAATACTGGTGGGGGCTGACGAATGCCAGGCCTCGGCCCTGGCCTGGGCCTGGTAACACTCACCTCCTGGCTGCAGCCCCAGCTCTCCCTCACAGGCTCTGGAGCCAGACTGCCCTGCTGCACTGGCCTGGGGCACATCCTTCCCTTTTCTGTGCCGTAGTTTCTTCATCTGTGAAATGGGGGTAATAACAGTATCTACCCCATACATTCTTCATTAGGATCAAGTGAGTCCAAGGAAAGGGCTCAGGACAGTAGCTGTCACATAGCTGTGCTCCTTAAGCTGTCACTGCTGTCGTTGTGAATGGCTCCGTGGAAAGTAGTGTTTACCGGAGAGTCAGCACAGGGGGCAGAGAGGGTAGGGCATGCCTCTCCCTGGAGCCAGACTGCTGGCTTGGCAGCCGGGCTCCTCTGTGGGATAGCTTGTTCACCTCTCTGTGCCGCAGTCTCCTCATCCACAGAATGGGATGCTCAGGGCTGCTGTGAGAATTGGAGAGTTAATTTACGCAAAGTGTGAAGGACAGGACTGGCCTGTCACAAGTGTGATGGGAGTAGTGGCTGTGCTGCTGTTTTATTATTAGATTCTTCAGAGTTGAAAGACTGAGCCTCAGGCCCGCTCAGCCCGCAGTGTGTAGGTGAGTCGTCGAAGGAGGCTCACCTGAGGCTGACTTCCTGGGTCCGAGCCCTGCAACGCTATGCTGCCAGCCCTGGGACTGGGCGGGTGGCAGGGCTGGCATCGAGAGTCCCTGCAGACCCCCTGGAGTCACCCCCTTTGCAGAGGGAGGACCCTTGCTTGGGTCCCCACGGGGCAGGGGGAGTGGTCACTGCTGACACCAGGAGTGTGGGGCCACAGGGCACAGGCCTCCGAGTGGCAGTGGGCCTTGGCTCTCCCTGGCACATTCCAGGTTCCTGAGAGGGTGGCCAGGGGCCAGGGTGCCGGAGGGAAGGAGAGAGCCTTTTAAGGAAACATTTCTCTGCTTAGAAAATAGAGAGAGAGAGAGAAAGAGAGAGAGAGAGACAGGGAAACACACAACAAAGTTAGTGGTCTGTCCTGCAGGCTGGCTGGCATGCACAGCTGTGGGCAGAGGTGGAGGAGGTCTTGGGGGCACCCAGGCATCAGGCCCTCTAGCTGGGGGCCCACTGCTGCACCCCAGATCCAAGTCCTTAGGAGGTGACTCTGCTTAGGGCTGTCTGCCTCTGGGGGATGGAAAGAGACGTGGGGTCCCTTCTTTGCACTGCCTTTGGGTGGTGCTGGGAGAGAGACCCTCCTACTTTTCTCTGAGGATGCCTGCCCATTCTGCCCCTGCCCAAAATGTATTTGTAACCCCCTCACTTCCCCAACCCCAGTCCCAAATGGAGAGTGGAAACCCACCCTTGTGCAAGGAAGAAAGGACCGGAGGGCACTGTCCAAGGGTGACAGCAGGAATGGCGAGAGAAGACCCTGGGGGCCTGGCCTCATCAGGCGAAACCTACAAGCTCCAGACTGGGGTTTGGGGCAGCAGGTGGGAGGAGAGAGGGAGGAAGCCACTGCTAGATGCAGACTCCTGCCCTGACCCTGGCAGGCAGGGCAGTGTCCCCCTGGCTGAGTGAGACCTTGTCTGGTGGGCAAGGCGGGCAGAGAGCCCTGCAGGCCACAGTCACCTCTGGGACCTTCCCTTCCTCCTGGTCTCTTCTCCTGGCACCCTCCACCCCACCCCTTCCACTGATCAGCTGTGTGACTTTGGGCAAGTGTTTAACTTCTCTGCGCCCCCTGTACCTCAACCAGAGGTATAACAGTAGCTTTATGTGGGCAAAGCACTGATATTAATGCCTGTCATATAGTACATATTCTGTAAGTGTTAGATATTGTCTCTATTTTTGGCTTTGTATGTGATTTTCCCACCAGTCCTAGGATAAAGTTGTGTACAGGGTGATGGACACTTTGCTGGAGAATGGGTGGGGAGGTGGGGAGCAGGTGGGGGGGACAGGGAGCCTGTAGCATGGCTGAGTCAAGAAGCAGAGATGCTTTCAGCCTCTCCAGCCTCCCAGGGTTCAGGGCACACTGTTACGTGGGTGTTGTCCCCTTCTGAGCTGGTGTCAGGCCGGGGTATCCCTTAGGCTGGTCAGACGACAGAACGGGTTCAATGGAGGGAGGGCCTGACTAAGGTGGCCTCTGTGAACAGCCAGCCCCAGCCAGGGCTGTGGGCTGTCTCCGTCACTGCTCCACTGGGTGGTGGCTGGGGTGGCGGTGGGGGGTCTCCCACTCTCCGAGGAGGCAGCCACCCCCTCTTTGGCCATCCACAGCTTGTGACCAGACATCCTCATGCCCCAGGGAGAGCCTCCCCCTTCGTTCCCTCTGTGGGCCCCCTGCCTGGTGCTCGGGTCAGGAATGGAGCCAAGATTGAGGTATGAGCTCCAAGAAAAACGTGTCCCAGCTAGAAAAAAGGAACACATTGAGTCTCTGATAAAGGCCCCTGCTAATTGTCAGGGTAGAGGTTTGGCTGCCTGGCCTGGCTGAGGGATGTTATCTTAGGGTAGGAGCAATTCAGCCCTCCCTCTACCCCACCTCCCTCTGTCTGGAGGCCCAAGTTGCCACCTGCCCCCCCCCCCCACCCCAGGTCATCAGGGAGAAAGATGAGGATGATGATAAAATAATAGCTCACCCATAGAGGGTGCTTTCAGCTCTCCAGACCTCTGTGTTTATTAGTGACGGGTGGCTTTCTTTGGGAGAGCTGGCAGGGGCCCGTCACCCACCTGTTTCCCACGTGCTTTGGGAAGCTGCCAGCTGCCTGCACTCTGACCTCTGGGTGAGACACCTTGGCATTGGGGAGAACGAACAGGCAACTCTTCCCTTTCTAGAGACCTTAAATACGTTTTACAAAAATTCCAAACACATCTTACCATATTGCAGAAAATTCAGAAAATAGAAGAACAAAGACAATAAACCCTTATTTTTCTTACCATTTAATCCCGTTATGAAAATTCTGGTGCATTGACCTTCAGTCTTTCAGTGTCTGCATATTTCTACAGAATTTAAAAATAGCGATGTGCATTTCATTGTTGCCTTTCGCAGCCCCCCTCCCCACTAGCGGTGTTGCCTAAGTATTTTTCCATGTTGCCACATAATCTTCCAATGAATTCTCAGGCTGCAGAGTGTCCATGTGTGTGAGTTGAGGGAAGGGGTGTCTCCCATGGAGGTGGCGGCTGTGGAATGATCTCAGGAGGCCCTGGTTTTCTGTAGGAATGAAAGATGCTAACCTTGCCTTTCTCTGTTCCTCCCACAGGTGGCTGCCCCCTGCATTCCTCCATCCAACCATGAATTGGTGGTGAGTGACAGTCCGTTCCCTACCCTGCCAGCCCCTCCTCCCCTCTGTCCTCTGCTCCCAGCTGCAGCTTACTTCAGATCCAAGCATGCTGGCAGCCCCCAAGGGTGCCGGGTAATTAGGTAAGGGAAAGGAGGGGGCCTTGTTCCGAGAGGCTGAAGCTGGACTGGGAGGAAATGAGTCATGAGGTCCCTTCTGATGGGATGCAGGGCCTCCTATTTCAATCTGGAGACTAAAGTCCTTGGAAAAAACCATAAAAGGGCATCTTGCCTGTCTGCAAAGCCTGGCCAGGTGCCTGTTGTCCTGGAGCTTACAGAACTAGGGGATGGCATCTCCTCCCACCCACTTGGTCCTGGGTCGGGTACCCTTCAGCTGGAGGCAGGGGGATGGACGGCATGACCCACAGAATTCATCTGCCTGCGCAGCTGCTCTCATTCAGGTGGCCTCTTCCACCTCCATGCTGTTTGCTGATTCTGCTTTTCTGCTCTTGGGTGTCCTCCACTCCTCCCTCCCTTCCCCAGTGGGGCTTCCAGAAAAGCATGGACAGGACAGGGCTCCTGTGAGTTGTGGACTGATCCCAGCTGGGCTGATTGGAAATGTTGGGAGCTTTTCCCTCCTGCCCTCTCACTGCCTTCTTACCCTTCAGAGGCCCCTCCTGCACCTCGCCCACTGCTGGAGGCGGGCAGGGCCTGGAGGCTGGAGGAGAGGAGCCTGCATGCCTGCAGGTGTGTGCTTGTGCATGTGTGTGTGTGTGCAGAGGAGAGTCATGGAGGGGCCCTATGTCACAATTTGACCCACTGGTGCAGAGGGGCAAGTGACGACACGGATGTGGGTGGGAACCTGGGGGAGGGACAAGGGTGTCATGGGGTCTGGCAGTTACAGGTGTCTGCACACCTGTGCAGTGACCTGCCCTGCCTGGATACTGGAATCTCAGCCAGGCCACCTGGTCTTCTGCCAGGTGGCAATGGTCCTGTCCCGCCCTCTTTCTGGACATCAGTTTCCCTTTCCGTCACAGAGATGGCTGAACTAGATGCTCGAGAGGCCTTCTCAGTGCTGATAAGTATTCCCTCCATTCAGGGTTGTTAATGGAATGAATTAAAGTATGTGAAAGTGCTGGTGGCTCTTAGACGCCTCCTGGGCCCAGCACAGCGCCACCGCTCTCTGCACATGGGCTCAGGCCCTGCCAAGTGCGTCCCTTCTTTGCAGCGGCCCCTCCTCCCTTCTGGGCCCCAGCTCTGCCCAGCTGTGCCGCTCCAGATGTGGAGCCCAACTGTGCGGAGTCCAGTTGAAGGTCATCTGACAACAGCAGCGGGTGTAGGTGGGGGGCGAGCCGGGTGCTGCAGGGATGAGGCCAGAGTGTAGGCCTGGTTTGGAGCTGCCAGTAAGAAATCTCTCTGGGATTTCAGAGAGACACTGTGGAGGGCGGGCAGGAGGGGTGAGGTGGGGTGAGCAGACCTCTCATCATTCCAACCCAACTGCCACTCTGCCCCTGAGAACAGAATGTCCTTGGCTGGTCTAGGACGGCTGGGGGGTCTGGGGTTTAGAGCTCTCCAGGCAGAAGCCAGATGCCTGGCCACCAGGAGTGAGCTTTGTTTATGTGAGGAAGGGTCAGGGGTTGGGACAAGAGGGAATGGTTGGCATTCCAGCTGGAGAGGTTGTGGTTAGCACCAGAAGGAGGGAGGCCAGGGAATCTTCTCATCTCTGTGATGCGCCCCACCTGTGCCCAGGCTCTGCCCTTCACGGAGGTTGGTCAGCCACCTGGTGGTGAAGTGGCTGTGACACCAGATTGTGCTTTCAGAGGTCCCCCCACCTGAGTCAGAACTGACCCCCAACAGTGGTCAAGAGCAGGGGAGTTTGACCACCTCCCTGTGGGTCCCAGTTCCCTGTGACCTTGGACACATTGTTTAACCTCTCTTGACCTTAGTTTGCCTGCTGCAGATTGGGAGTTGGAAATACTACTTACCTTGTAAGGTTAAGAGAAGAAAAGGAGCAATTAACCAGTTGAATTAGCATGTATTCAGGACCCTCCAATGGCTGCCCACTTTACTGGGAGTGAAAGTCCAAGGTTTTTCCATGGGCTCGCACAGCCTCCTGGAGAGTTTCCTCTCTGACCTCATCGCTCCCTCGCTCACGCTCACTCGCTCACTCCGCTCACTCCGCTAGCCCTTCCTGCTGGTCTTTGAATAAACCAGTCAGGATGCTGCCTCAGGGCCTTTGCATTTGCTATTCCTTCTGCCTGGAATGCTCCCCACCCCCCCTGCCCCCCCACAGATTCCTCAGGGCTCTTTCCTTCCCTCAAGTGTCAGCATTTTCCTTCCCCCAACAACCTTATCTCCCTTCCCTGCTTTCTTTGCCTCCCAGCATGCATCGCCATCTGATAAGCCCCGAGTCTTATTTGCTTGTCTTGTTTAAGAGGCTCCCCCTGCCCCCACCAGCATGTAAATTCCATGAGTAGGGATTTTTCTGTGTTGTGTTCAGTGCGGTAACCCTATGGTCTGGCACACAGTAGGTACTCAGTACGTGTTTATTGAGTGACAGGGAGACAGGCGTTCAGTGGAATGCCTGGTAGATTAGGTGCTCAGTAAACAGGACTGCTGCTGGGTGGGAGGCCTGCCTCCAGCTGGAAGCTCAGTGCTGTCCCCAGGGAGTGAGAAAGTGGCCCAGGCGAAATGGGAGAAAGTTTGGCTCCCCCCAGAGAGCACTTAGCACCTGTTTCCTCACTGAGGGCGAGGCAAGTGCTCTGAGCCGGTTCAAAGAGGGAGGAAAGGGCGGGCTGTATTTTTCCTTCCTTTTCCATTCTCTGCCTGCCCTTCAGCCTCGGCAGGGCTGGACTCAGGCCTCCCTGCCCCCTCCTCTTGCCTCACACTGTGTGTCTGTCTGTCTGTCATATTTTCTCTATGTCCCCAGCTCACCCACTTTGCTTGAATCCTACCCCCCTGGGATCAGGACCATCATCCCTGGACATAGGATTTCAGCCCAGCCTCAGGGCCCCGCCAGCCAAACACACTTCCCAGCCTGTGCCAGGCCAGCCAGGGCAAAGTGGCTTAATCTTCAACCAGCGTTTTCGTCTTACTCAACAGATGTTGCTAAGGCCTTTGGTAGCAGGGTCCTATGGTCACGTCCCTCCTGGGCTCCATGGGTGGGGGCAGGATGGAGAGGGAGAGCCCTTGTTTGCCGTGGACTCTCCTGATCCTTGGAAAGAGCTGAAGCAGCTTTTCTCAACTTCTGAAAAATAAGAGTCGAAAGGAATTTCCCGAGGGTGATAGCCAAACGAGTGGCCACCAAAGTCGGCCGGATGCTGAGCCCTCTGCACATGCAGCCTGGCACCCGGGGGACCTGGACTGGGGGAGCCGGGCCAGCCCCATGGAGGGGGCTTGAGATGTCCTTGTGAATCGGAGCGTGGGGGTGGGGGGTGTCTGACGGGGGAGTGATCACTTATGTTAGTTTGAACTTCAGGCCCTAATGAATTTCATCTGAGGACACTGAGGGTCCTGGGTGGCCATTTTGGGGGGATTCTTAAAAATGGAGCAAGGCCAGGAGAGATGAGTCTGAGAAAGCCTTCAAAGAAGAGAGCAATTCTGGGCATTGCCTTCCAAGAGGATTTCCAGAGTGGTGAGGCGGGTGGACATCCTAGTTTGTGCAACAGCTAGAGTGGCTTAGTCTGGAGAGGGAAAATATGGGGGGTGGGGGTGCAGTATGGGAGTGAGAACGTGCTGAAAGGGCAAATTTGCTTATTTTCTGTTGCTTTCCAAAGTAGAGCCTAGTAAGTAGAGCTTCTATAGAGAGGAGGAGACTTGAGTTACAGAAACAGCAAAGCTCTCTACCACCTACAATGGCACAGCGGGACCAATCACGGGAGTCGCTGTCACTGGGACACATACTCACTGACACCTATTAGGGGTAAGGCAGCTGCTGATGGGAGGTTGTCTTCCTGGGGAGTCTTGGGTGGAAGTCCTCAGGGCCCACTGAGGTCCTGCCCTCAGGTTGGGCTGTGAAGGGACATGGTCCCTGGAGGTCAAGGCACCCATGAATGTGCTGACCACCTGCCCTAGGACCCCCACTGGGAGAGGCCCCAGTCCGATGAAGCATCCTGCCCTTGGGGGACCATGCTCAGGGGGAAAGAGAGAGAGAACTATATTATGGAAACAATTAGTGCTCGGCTGGGGGGTTCTGACCAGAGAGGTAGCTTTTGGGGTCCAGGGTAGGAAGCGATCCGTTTGTGCTGCAGTGGTTGAGGAAGTCCTATTCTGAGTCCAATTTAAGATTTCAGCAATGGAAGAGAGGAGAGAAGAAGGAGAGAGGGCCTTTCACAAGGTCAAGGTGGCAGAGCTAAAGCAGAGAAGGGGCAGGGCCTTGGTACAAATGACCAAGACCGATGGGGCCCAGGGCAAATCCAGTGTCCTTGCTGGGGAGACGAGAGGGCCAGGCCGTGTTGCCTTACCTTGGTGGCTCTGGCTGGGGTGCTGGCGGGAACAGCCTGAGTGGGAACAAGCATGGCATTCATGGTGAGCAGAGAGGAGGTGTGAGCGGATAGAGAGGAAAGAGGGGAAGGCAGTGGAATCCACCCAAGGAGGAAGGGGCCGCATAAGGGAGGAAGGAGTCCAGAAGTCATATTGGGGAACTTGAACTTGATGAGCTAAGCACTAAGAGCCATTATGGGTCCTTGAGTGGGGAAATGACCCTAAGCAGGGTTTGAGAGCTGGGAGTCAGCTGCCAGCTGTGGGGTGTGGCTCGGCGGTGAGGGGGCTGCCAGGAGGAGGGCTGGGGACACCAGATGAGGCTGGTACAGGTGCTCAGCGTGGGCGAAGGCGACCAGAAGGGCCTGGAGGAAGGGCCTACGGAAGCACAGACTCCCAGTTCCCTGGCTGACAGGTAGAACAGCATCCAGGGGGGAGGCTGGCAGGAGGAGGCGAGAAATATTCCAGTCTGGCGAGCATGTGTGAGCGGGTGGGATGGGAGTGCCCACAGTTGCCCAGCCTCAGCTGGGAGCTGGGTGCTGGTCC